TACTGAAATATTTTGGAAGGGCACAAAGGAAATCATGAGTAATATATACCTCTATGAATGGGACTGGGATTCTTGAATTTCATTTTTTTCCTTTTCCTTTTGATGATGATAATACTGGAAATGGAACCCAGAGCCTTGCCACTAAGCCACATCCCCAGCCTCTTTTACTTTTTATTTTTACACAAGTTCTTGCAGTCTCCACTATTCTGTCAATGACAGAAAGTGAGTGACAATAGTAGGGATTACCTTTGGGGAACACAGCCAGGGATTTAATGAAGGACAGACTGGAGTGGAAGGAAGAGGTAAGGAAGGAGACAGAGGGACTGACTTGTAGATGACATTCTGTACTGAAGTGTGGTTTGAGAGACAGAGATGTCTCAGCAGCTCTGTGTCCTCAGTCCTCACACAGAGTGAGCTTAGGGGATGTGAACATAGCAAATGTGCACTTGAAGAGTCTCAGGGAGCCCTGACTCAGTATCTGCCTCCTGGCCCTCCTCACACTACACTCTCCCTCTGGGAGGGCGGACCACAGTCTCTTATGTTCTCCTGGGGCAGCATGCACAGGCCCCGGCAACCCCCCATACTGTCCCTCAGTCGAAGTCCACCCGGTCACCATCCACAGAGCCTCAGAGAAGGAGAAGGAGAAGGAGAAGGAGAAGGAGAAGGAGAAGGAGAAGGAGAAGGAGAAGAAGAGGTCTAGAAAGCCAACAAAGAGCTCACCTGTAGAAAACCCCATTTTCTTGTGGCACTTGGTAAATTCAATATTAAAATAGGTGACGAGGGCGTGGACGTAGTCGTTGCGCTGTATCTGCAGGCAGAACGCGGAGGTGAATGACAGCTCTTCTGTCTTCACAGTATAAATGTCCACCTCCTGCAGCCCAAAGGAAAGAGAATGCCAGAGACTCATGGCTCTGGGGGTGGCCAGGGCCCAGCTGGAGTCTCATCCCAAGAGTTCCTCCTCAGAGACCTCTCTTCAGGTGCCATTATTCTTAGGGTAACTTCCAGGCCCATCCCCACCTCCCAGTTACCTCCTGACCCACTCTAGGGTGGAAGACCCTCAGGAAAAGGTGCAAATAGACATTGGCCAAAGCTGGAAGGGAACAAAACTAAGCAGATAAATCTTCTTAAGGGCTGATCAGAGCATCCTTAAGCTGAGACAGAGCAGCAGGGTAGTCTGCCTCTCCTCTCAGCCTCCAGCCCATCACCCTCCAAGGAGAGCCCTGGATGTGAGCAGCAGGGTCACTCAGGGGCCTGAATAGCAGGCATAAGCGGTGTCCCAAGCACCTGGGCTCACATAGTCACAGGCCACACTGAAGCGAGATCTGCTAAACTTTTGTAACAAGGCTGTTGCACATGTTTGAAAAACTAAAGTGTTGCCAGGTGTACTGGTGCAAGCCTGTAATCCCAGCACTCAGGAGGCTGAAGTAGGAGGATTGTTGTGAGTTCAAGACCAGCCTGTGCTACAAAGTGAGCTCAAGGCCAACCTGAACTGCATAGTGAGTCCCTGTCTCAAAAGGGGGAAAAAAGAGAGAGTGTTAGGAGTGGCTGAAGCTGGAAATTGGTCACATGTGTGAGGATAGGACAAAGCCAAAGTGACTAAAGCAGTCAAGCTACCTCAGTCTTGAGAAAAGAATCCTGCCTGGTCAGTGTCAGCTCTTAGTTACTAGGCAACCTTGTGTCACAATACTAATGTTGCAAAGGCATAAATAAATGCCCCTGGTGCTGTTCCAGGAGTCCAGCTACCGCCTGACCCAGCTCTTGTCTTCTTGTCTATCTTTTTTAGTATTCCTACTGAGGTTTCTCCCAGGATGTACCAAGAGACCAACCAGTCCCAACAGGAGAGGACTAAGAGGTGAGAATTTTCAGTTCCTACTGGCAAATATAGGACACAAAGAACTAATAATTCTCAAAATTTCAACTGGAAAGTGGTTGAAAAGCAATTTCACATGGGGATAAATTGTTATAGACAGATGTCTGCAATGTGCTTTTCTTCTGTGATGGGCTCTGGCCTGTGGTTTATGGGTCACCAAGAAAACAGGTAGAATCTCCTATGGGGCCAGTGGGCTCAGGACAGATTCTAGCAAGGCCTGAAGATGCACTGACCATGGGTCAGGGTTGTGCAGCAAGGACCGCCATAATGGTCAGAATCCCCAAAGAGCCCCATGTGCTTGTAGGTGGGGTTTCAGGAAGTGATCAGATTATGAGGTCTCATAGCTGACCTGCTGTTATAAGGTGAGGTCTGTAGAAAGAGAGGGTCACTGGGGCATTGCCTGGAAGGGACTGTACTGATGCCTCCCAGCTCCTCCCTTATCTCTCTCCTTCCCAGCCACCATTCCCTGAGCTATCTCTCCTCTTCCATGTCATCCTGACTTAGACTGAACTTTCTACAAGCTCCAAGCCAAAGTAAACCTTTCCTATAGCTTCTGGGTATTGGATGTTATGTCCCAGCAATGAGAATGCAGCTGGGACAACTGTCCTGGGAGGATGCGAGGAAGAAGGTGCCTGTGGGCCTGATGGTTCCAGCAGGTCCTCCTGAGACCTGGAGATAAGATCAGCAAAGTGGCACTGCATAAGTGGCTTTGATCTTCCTGTACTCCTAAGGTAAATAAAGGGAAAAGAGATGCTAAGTAGCCTAGGACCTACAAAGAGAAGCCCAGAACCAACAGAAGAGGAAGAGCAGTGGTCAAGGGTCAAGTGATCAGACCAGTGTTCTGCTGGGGCCCAGGTGAGCAGCCTGGCAGCCCCTGGGAGAGCTGAAGCTGCAATCATGGTTGTGAAGAGGGTTGCTGCAGGGCTGCAGCATGGGTAGTGCCCTGGAGAGGTTGCTTTTCAGTATAAGTTACTCTGAATTTCTAGAGCCAGAGATGAGAGAAAGAACCAACATAAGGGTGAGCTAGCCCCAGGTCTGGTGGGCCAAAGCGGATGGGAATATAAAGCATATCCCCTCTAGCCAGTCCTCTCACCCACCTCCAACGTCCCTGTAGTGTTGGCCTTCCCCATAAGTGTCCTACCCATAGGGATGCTGACAGCCACCCACTACCAGGCTGCTCATTTTGTGTCCAGGTGTCTCCAACATCACGCTCTTCTTCAGAACCAGTAATGAGAGCCCACACCCCTCTCTGTAACTTACACTCACAGGACAGGCAGGGACTTCGTCTAACCCACATGGGCACCTGGACCTTTTCTTCTGCAGCATAAAGCACCCTGCTTGTCCTGAAGGGTCTCCAAGTCATGATCTCCAGCATCTCTCTCTCCTGGTCCTTCTGCTTTGGTGGGTTCATCCACTCTCAAAGCTGAGTGTGGTACTGACCATACTAGGCCTATATGCCTTTCCTCTTGGGCCCTTCCTTGGGCAGCTGGGGCCAGTCTGCCTACAGTTGGGTTTGCAAGCCCTCCTGGTGCTCATGGTCCCTCCCAGCCACACAGTCCACAAGGCCCCTCCAGTTCCAGGCCTTCTGAGCAAGCCATGGTGACCTCAGCTTTACTAATGGCACCAGCACAGTGCCTGGACTTGTGCTGTCTCCTCAGCCAGTGCCAGCCACCAGGCTCTGTGGTCCCAGGACCATTCTTTTCTGGCCTGTCTTCCTCCAGCCCAACCTATCTTCTGAGTCAACATAGGTGCCTCCTCATCTCTACCCTCACCTGTTCCATTACACCAGAGCCCTGTAGGGCCAGAGGCTGAATCTCACTGCCCTGTGCACCCTCAAGGCATGGTGTGGCCTCAGTGCGTAGCATGTGGCTTGGCCTCATCTATCTACGTAGCACTTCCTCCCTTCCTCAGGTCTTCCCTAAATGGCAGTGAACCAATCTCTTTAGGGGCCATTCAGATGTGCTTCTCCTTTCAGGAGCCTTTGGCTTCTCACCCTCACTGGCCCCTCTCTCCCCTTCCTCCCTGAACTCGCACATGGGTGCTCACACACTGCTCAGCTAGCAGGAGCTCTTTTCCCATGTGGTCCTGAGCTCAGATGTCCCTCAGTGGACTGTCAGCTGCCCTGTCTTAGTGAGCTGAGGAGATCCCAGATTCATTTGCATTTTAATAGGAGCCGGTAGGCCAGGAGAGAGAAAACTATACAGCTATACAGCTACATACTAGATGGCAACAATAGAGGCAGCTGGCCTTTTGGCATGCGGTCCAGATGGGCCATCTGTGAGAGCTGGATTAGTGGTGACTGTGCTTCAGGGACACAAAGGCCCTCAGGGTTCAGTGCCCCCACACCACCCTGTCCCAGTCAACAGAACAGCCTGTGACCCTGAGGCCCCAGTCTTCCCTAAGATTTCTTTATTTCCACGAGTGCATTGCATGTCTGAGCCCTGGGAGACGCACCGCTCTGGGCTCAGGTGCCCCAGGAAGCAGAGGCCCTGCCCTGCTTATCCTCCTGTCAACATCAGTGCAGGCAGATGACTGCAAGCAGAAGTCTGGTCAAAACATAGTCTTAATTATAATTAAGTGTCATACTCCATAACACTAACAGCAATGAAAATAGTAATTAAGTGTTTGAAGAAGGACAAATGTTTTCCCAATAGACTCAGCAAGACGTTGCTTAGCACTCTAGCAAGACAGCTGAGAGGATACTCTTGTTATGGGAGCAAACTTAAGACAATGTTCATCCTCCTCAGAAAACACTCAGGAAGTATCCCAGACCACAAGACAATCAGTCCCCGCTTCAGGGTCTTCCTAAGAGGGCACACTTTTCCTGTCCCCCCGTGATTGGGCTGGATGCTTTTCCTGTCCTCACTGTGACCAATCTGGGAGGAAGGAGGAGAGACACACACGTGTCCTGGGGAAAAGAACCAGGCAAATCCAGGCACCATCAACAGAGGATGGTCAGAAGTTCAGTGGCTACTCCTGCAGTGGACTTGGCCAGATGTGCAGAACTACCTGGGAACCAAGTAAGTTGGAGGAATTTCATTGCCAGCTGATGCCCTTGCAGACAGGTGCATGACAGCAGCCATCAATGCCAGCAGTCATTCTGGCAAAGTCAGTGGCACCACTGACTTCTACCTACAACTCTCCCACTGTGGTGAGCTTCTCTGTGGGAGATGGGCTTTTCTTGTTCTTGTTTGGGGTACCAAGCAGAGGAAGGGGGCTATTGGGAAGAAATAAGATGACACAACTGCTCATGATTAATTCTGCCTGCATGCAGAATGCATAGAGTAACCAAGTAGTGAGAGCCCATGAATGCAGAGGCCAAGGGTTCAACCCCAAGACAAGCCTCTGAGAGAAGACTCTACAAAAGGGAGGTGCCTAATGACACCTGGAGGAGGGCTCTAGCTTTATTTGCCTGTGAGCTTCCCCCCATGTTTCCCAGAGGTAGTCTGGATCAAGGGCACAGTTTTTCTGCAGAGGCTATATGCAAAGAAAATGACACATCTCACTTGGAACACTATAGGTGACCCAGTCCCTCTTCCCAGCAGTTGAAGAACCCACGATGTGCACAGGATCAGAGAAGCTCAGATGAGAGTTTTAGCAAAATGAGAACCAGGCAGCTGAGCATACTTACATAATTAATCCATATGTTTAGATTAAAAAATTAACTTCAACCATATGAAATTGATCATGTTCTATACTTTTAAAAATGTCAGGTACTAGTAGTTTTATATGGCTCCACATATTAGCACACAAAAACATGTAGTACGAATATGGAAAGAATCAACCCCACTGTGAACAACAGATCTTCCTGGTAAGCGCACGAGGCTGGAAAAGAGGGGGCAAAGGGGAAGTCTGTGGCCTTGCAAATGTCTGGATATGTGACAACAAGAGTGCAGTAAGGACAGGGTGTGAGAATGCCAGCTAGTACACAGTGCCTTGGAGAGCCTCCTGGGAGAGGCTTGTGGAGCATGCGCCAACAAGAGGCCCAGGAAGGGCTGAGGGCTCTGGGTGGTAGGTCAGGTGTGCGCTTGTGCTTGGAGGTGGCAGACAATGATGGCAGCACCGTGGGGTACAAGGGCTCTATCCCGAGAACTCCCAGCCCAGCACCCACACACACCCCGCCTTGCAGGTACTCTGCCCCCTCAGGAACCCCCCACTGGGGCCCTCCCCATGGCCATGCTGCCACGTAGTCCTCATGCTGGCTGTGTTCCATGACAGCATGAGCTTCTGACTTGTCACTCTGGATCACCCAGGCTCTGACCAACGTGGTTTTGGCCCATGAGGCTGGGGCCATGCAGGTGGCTCTACCCTGAGCCCCCTGGTCTGTCGTCTCCTTTCCTAATCCTACACCTTCATGCACCCTGTTCTTCCCCAGCCTAGTTCTCCAGGATTGCACTGCTGTTTTCAGCACACCCAGCCCACCAGGATGAGTTCACAGACCTTTATTAAGCAGGCATTCGTCACCACTTGCTTGGGATCCACAATGTCCACCAGGGGCTCCTTCATGGCCACGTCCCGGATACAGGTCATGTCAAAGCCATAGACATTCTCCCACCCTGTGGGGCAAAGTAAGACATCAAAGGAAGCACAGGACTCCAAAGTGTACCCAGACTCCTGTGTGCTGGAATGCAGTAGGCCAAGAGGGTGCAGCCTGTGTTCTGCACCCAGAACCTAGGATCGCTCACCTGCACGGGGACTGGCAAAACGCCCAGTGCTCACTCACATTTTCTCATCTTTCTATCTAAAAAAAAAAAAAAGGCAAATCCCACTTTATGATTAGATAGCAAAGAGAGGCTAAGAAATGTCTCCAAGTTCACACTGCCAGCCTGCAGCAGGGTCAATTGCCTTGCTCTTTCTGGTATCTATGTTTCTGTGCCCTCTCCAGCTCCTCAATTTTCTGTGAGCTCCCTGATCTACCTTCTACTTCTCTAATCCTACTCTTTCATGCACCCTGTTCTCCTCCAAAAGACCCAGCTCTCTCCCTTCTCCACTGATGAAACTGAAATGTAGCTGAGAGAGACGTGTGCTCTTATAGTCAAAGAGACTGGAGTTCAGGTTACAGCACGGGTGCACACTAGTCAGGACCTGTGCACATCAACCACCTTTCTGAAGTCTCTGCCCTCTAGCCTAGGTGGGTGCAGGAGGGTCTGGGCCTGCCTCACACACGATGGCGCTTGCACTGATAATCCAACCTGTAAGAAAGGACCTCTGACTGAGGCACTGAGCCTCCCAGCTGTGCTCCCCGGTGTGCAGGCCACTGGCCCACAGGATACTCTGTCGGAGGAGGATTTGGGGTGTAGAAGCTGGTGAGCCCAAGATTGCCCTTCCATGCGGTAGTAATTGTTATCACTGATGGAGCTCCTCCATCTAAATAACCCATCAACTCATTTGTCTGACCAGAAATGTCTCAAAGGAGACATATTTTTCTATAAAATCTCACTAAATTAAATTTTCCCTTAAAGTATTCATTAAATAAATGGTCCCTTAGGGGACTTGTGTCCCTGTGTGTGTGGAGGAGAGTAGGTGTGAATGGTCAGGGAAATAACTGCTCCTTTGACTCACATTCTTTCCCAAGACCTTCCTGAGAAAACAGAAGGCAGAAAAAGTAATCATCTCCCAGAGGGTAAATGCTTATGCACTCCCAGGCTGAGGATGAGATGCCAATCACTTCCCACTCGGTCACCTAGGGCCGGTGCGGAGCTCCCAGTTGGAATCATACTGTAGGAAGAGAGCTGCTCAGTGAGCCGCAGGAGCCCGTCCAGAATCTGGAAGTAGTTGTGCATCCTCTCCCCAGATAAAACCCACATATGAAAGCACATTGCCTTTGGTTTAAGCCATGCACCTGCTCTTCCCCTCCCTGGGCCATCTCAAATTAAAATTCAACACAAGTGTTAGACAAAATACTAGTTAAAGGAATGGATTTTGTGTTCAAATCTGAGCTCTTTCATTGTTTTACTGTTTCACCTAAAGCAAGAATGAAGCATCTCTAAACCTTGGTTTCTTTCTCTTTAAAATAGGGATGCTGGGGCCGGGGAGATGGCTTGGTGGATTAAGCGCTTCCCTGGCAAGTTGAAGAGCCTGAGTTCAATCCTCGGTTCTGCAATAAATAAACAAATAAATAAATAAATAAATAAATAAATAAATAAATAAAAATAGGGATGCTGTTGCTGCTTCTTGCAGCCCTTCATTAGGGTCACTAAGTGGGGGGCTTATCTGATAATACATGCTGCTTGCAGAAGATAGTGTCAGGCATAAAGAAAGAACTCATCACCTGGTAATTGTCATTAGATGGACTGAGCGCTAGTTTTGCTGCCTTCCAAACTGTGTGACCCTGTACAAATCAATACCCTTTTCTGGTCTTATTTATAAATTGAGTTCAGTTCAGTGGTTTTGTGTTCTTAGAATCCTAAAAGACACTCTTAAAATCAGACTCCTGGACCCATACCAGAGCCACTGAATCAGAATCTCTGGATCTGAGTCTCAGGACATTGGACTTTTCTGAATCTGTGTAGGCAGTTCCAACCTTTTGGGAACTTGATCTTTAAAGTACTTGCCAGTTCTAAAGTACTTGAAATCTCCTGCCTTTGTGAACCCCTCTCCAGCTACTCCTGGCTGTGGCCTGTTGGGAGCTGCTGAAGTTGGAAATTGATCATATGTTGGAGGGTGCAGGAGGAGGCCTTGTTGCCTAAAGCAGTCAAGCCACCTCCTTCTTGAGGAAAACAATCTGCCTGGATATTATTGGCTATTAGTTGCGAGGCAACCTTGTATCTTGTAACTTTACAGAGGTATAAATAAAAGCCCTCTAATGTTGTTCTGGGATCTTTTGCTAATTAGGCATGGTCCACCACTTAACTTCAGTTATTATCTCTTGTGTTTGCCTTCTCAATCCTCTCACTGTATTCTCCCAGGGACCACCGAATCCTTGCATTTGGTGCCTGCAACAGGGACCCTCTAGTAAGGAAATATGGGTAGAAGGGGGGACATTACCCAGAACTTTTCTGGCAATAGGGTAGGGGGAACAGATTGGGAACCAGACCAATATTTAACTCTGCAATGTTATGTTGACAATAATCAGGTGAAAAATATGGGTTTTAGAGGTCTACTGACATTAAAAAATATACAGAAACAAAGGTTAAAGAGAGCAACAGGTTTGAGAAAAGCCAAAAAGAAGAAAGTTATATTGAGTTAAAAATGTGACAGGTTTAAGAACCACAGATGTTTGAAGATATATGTATATATATTTGTTGTTTTCTTGGTTGTTGTATATCTTGTTACTCTCTAAGACCACTACAAACAACTTAGCATGGAGTACTGTTTTAAAATCAAGTCCCAAACAGGAGAAGGAAGGTGGAGCAAAGGTAGAGCAGAAAGAATTTAAACTCTCTAGTTTTGCTCAATTAGATGAAAAAAAAAAAAAAAATTTAAACTGTGAGCACTTGGTTCCAAGCAGCTGGATGGCAGTGCCTCAGGCTGGGGTGGGGGGCGCAACCTGGTTCAGGGAGGGCTCTGTGCTCTGATCTTAAGCAGACCCAGCTGGCATTCCCCAGTTATCTGTGTGTCCAGTCCACCCATAGTGGTTGGCACGCCAAACCAAGTACAGTCCTGTGTGCCTGAGGAGAAGGAGGGGGTCATGACTAGGGCAAAACATGGCCTTGGCCTTTGCTATGTGTGTTGTTGGCATCAAAAATTTATTAGGTTTAAGATAGTGCCTTCCCAGGCAACAACAAAACATCTAGTGGTCAGGCCTGAATGACAGCCTGCCCAGAGTGGGTGTGCACAGAGGCCTTGGCTGCAGGGTCATAGCCCCTATGAAGCTTGGGGAGGAGAATATGGGCAAGAGATACCATTCCTGGTACTAAGACAATCAGCAGCTTGCTTAGCCCTAAGGCCATAGAGCAAACGTGCACCCAAGGCAGATCCCCAGTACAAAGAGGTCTTCAACTTTTGGCTGGTGTTATTAGTGCTGGTTATATAGGGAAAAACAAAGTTATAGCTCAGTTTACTCAGAGCACTGTTTAAATTGCTCCAGACTCTCATATTGCTCAATGGGTCATTCTTTCTTTGATAAAAATTATTTTAAAAAATATTGGGTTAAAAAATAGAAATTAAAGGAAAAGAATTTTAAAGGGCTTTTCAAAGTGTGGAAGGCCACTGAGTAGGGCAGTAACAAAGATACAAGATTGCTGACCTGGAGGGATCAAAGGGCTATTCCCCCAGGGGCAGAGCCTCACAGAAAAGCAGGACATAGAGGGGTTTTCCCACTCTATTACAATTGACACTACAAAATAAGCTTTCCCATTTTCCCCTTAAGATGATTAATTTAAAAGGTTGTTTAATTCTAAAGAAAAAGTTTGCCTTTAGTTAAAAAAAATTGTATTTCCTGAGATTTACAATAATGGGAGTATTTTAAAAGATTACTTGAAGTGCTTTTGATTCCTAATAAGGTTGATTGCTTGTTTTGTAGTCCTAAATTTATGTGGTATGAAAAAAGTATTGGTACTTTACAAACTAATACAAAGGTTTGGAGTGCAATGTAAAAACAGTGGGACTTAAACAGTCACTTGATTTTGACATCCCATTTAAGTGGTGGCAGTCCTGGTGATGGCCTCCAAAGGGGTACAAGCTAACTTTTTCATATTTGAGTCACCTCACTCAGCAAAGACATATTGTGCCTCAAACTGGTCAGATCAACCCAAAATAATTTTCAGACTTTATTTGGTAATATTAATTGGTTCCATTCCAATTTTGGGCTAGTTTTTCTGGTGTTATTGACTCGTTATCCTTCAGGTAAGTTAAATTAATTTGCTTGTAATCACCGATAGGTCATATTAGGTTGAGGAAGTCTATATATTATTTCCTTTTACAAAATATAGGACACAGGTTTCTCAATGTGCAATCAAAATTCAATTACAAAAGTGGGAATCAATCCCTCCAACTTCACTTGTCAATATGTAGTATTAAAATTTAAAATTTTTTACAAAAGATGGAAGTATAGCAACAGAAAGATAATTCAAGCAGGAAAAGCAAAATAATTAATTTGGGGTAGAGGATATGCTTATGTTTGCTCAGAGAATGCTGAGCAGCCTACTTGGGTACCAGAATGTGCTGTCAGGGTGTACCATGAAGCCAGATCTGGAGAAGAGGTGAACAGCAATGAGGTTAGATTAGACCTGAGGCCTATTGAAGGAACTGACAAAATAGAAATTTAAGGCAATAGAGTACATGGAGATAGCTGAGCTGAAAGTATTCTTAAGACAAAACAAAATACAAAATATGCATATTAGCTATAGATAAAAAGAGTCTATTCCTTCCTAATTTCTGAGATAAGAAATCTCTGCTAATTGACAAACAACAAAATCTAACTAGTCAATCTATAAATTCCCAAACGTTATAATAGGAACTGTCATTCAATTTGGTGAAGAATATACTTGAGCACACTTTCATTTAGTAAAGTTTTTTGTGTGTTCTGTGTATTTGTTTACATGCTTGTTTGTAGCATGAACAACTGTTCTTCTTTTTATTTGAGCTTTGCGATATAGATTTAAAAGTATGCTTT